GACCTTTGCGGAAACTTTCTCATTGAGAGGGCAAGATCTGGCAGAATGTGTCAAGCAGTCACGCGGGTGTGTCTCGGCTGCTTTGAGAGGTGTAGAGTTTAGGGTTCAGTATTTAGGATTCAGGGTTTAGGGTTTAGGGGGATCTCATGTGAATCATGGGGTTTTTTCGACCCTGAAAAAGAAGCGCGGTTTCCCTGTGGTTGCCATAGCTGCTGCAAGAAATCTACTCGTTAGGAATCCTTTACACCCCAAAAAGGCACTTGATTGCAATGGCGGGGGTTTCCTTTTCACAGTGTCCTAGAGGATCCTGGGGTTTAGGGTTTAGGGTTCTCAGTTTTGGCTGGGGTTCAAATGCTAGCCTGTTGCACACTTGATACATATACTTTCCGCTCACCACCACGCACTTCCCTGAAGAAGCAACACCCATATGCCACCCAGTCGTAAATCTGGGCTACTAACTAGAAGGGATATGCACTATGTGAGGCTTGGGGGTCATCTTTTTATGCTTAAGCAGCACCATTTCGACCACCCTTGGCGCCAAGCCTCTGTGAGACTGCTTAGGCGTCACCATGTTCTGCGATTTTGCCAAGGTCCGATGCTTGTTGTGGCTAATGATCTAGGATTTGTTGCTCAAAGTACTTTCGTCAGGGCGCAGGATTCACAGGGACGGCTTGCCTCGAAATTGTGCCGGCCTCTTCTGGCGTGTTGGATTGAGCGGGAAAGCAAGGCAAAGAGCATATGAATTTGGACATGATGCCTTTCCTCAAAAGGATTTCGATACGTGAAGGGGTTTCCCAAAAAGGAGCTAACTCATAGACCCCAATTCTTATACGTTATGGGGACCCCCAAAGAGCATGCCCCAATTCTTGGAAACCCCCATGTGGATAATGGTTTGGAGGAGGCTCGTGCGAGGAGATCTTATGGTGTTGAAGGTGTGTAAGGGTGCCTAAATTCTCTCAAGTATACTGCTGATACTACCGTGCATGCGTGACCTTAGTTCCCGAAAAGCCAGAACTCCCAAGGTAGAAGGCACTCAGGGTCAGGCAGACTTTTGTATCAACCGTAGAGTACACGCCCAAAAACCGAGCTCGTCTTTACTTGACACGGAGAGCTCATGCACAAGAACAAGCGTGGCATCGGTGACAACCACAAACGGACGAAGTGCCACCTGGCTAGCTGTGTACCTCAGGTACTGTCCCCCACCCCGTACACTTGGATAGTAGTTATACCTTGAAGATATACAGCCCTTAGTATGACCCCTATAATAGACTGTTGCTATGTGGGGCAGTTCCCAGTGCATGCTGGTAGGGGCCTTTGTTGGAGATCCCTCTTGGAGGATAATATCATTTGGGGAAAGTTCCCTCGACTTCAGGACCAAAACCTTAACATCTTGATGTTGAGATCTGAATGCTTAATTACAGTGTCCTTCATCGTGCTCATAGAATCCCAGTACAGTATACCCTGAAGCTCTATTGAAACAAGTCATACCCCAACATTAGACTGTGTAACTCAAGCTCGCCTGTATTTTTGTAGCTTGTGCAGCCTGGTTGCAGGACTTCGTATGTGCAATTCAGAGCAGCGACCATGCTGCGTCTAGAAGAGCCTTTTTGATGCTAAAGCTTCTGAAATGATTAGGGGTATCGGTATCTTCAGGGGCTTTGGGACATGTAGGAATTGTACTGGGATTTGGAGGGTCCTTATTGGTGATTGTGTAGTGAATCTCTTCCGAGATCTATACACTTTTTTAGAGAGGGCTAAAGCCTGCAAGCGTCTCTCCGGGGCTACGATGTCACTCTATACTGGGTACTACTTGGGCATTTTTCAGAAGGATCCCTATAGCCCTATAGAATCTTGGACAGGCATACATGCACGCCCATACTTCTTTTGAATCCTCCAAATCCAAACACATTCCAAAGGTCCTTGAGGACCCTTGAATCCTCGTCCCCAAACCCCAAACCATAAAGCCCAAACTCTAAAGCCTTGAGCCCTCAAATTCTAAACCCCAAAACTCCAATCCGTAAGGCAAGAGTAAGGGTGCAGACGAGGAGCAGGTTCGCTTCGCTCATGAGTCGAGACTGTATTTAGTCCTAAGCGGTTTAGGGCTGCTTCGGGCTGGTCAGAGTCGTTCAGGGTTGTTTAGGGCTGCTTAGCGTGGTCTAGGGTCATTTCGGGTGGTTTATGGTCCAGAGTTTAGGGTCCATGAATTTAGCAATCTGGGTATGGCGTTCTGAGGCCTTTGACTTTTTTGGTGTCCTGCTACGTTTGTTTTTTTCCACCTTGCGTTTGACGTGGCCACATTCAGCGAAGGAGTGTTGCACGAGAAACCAGCATTACCAAGATCTGTATCCAGACCCTAAAACCCGGTCGCTTGGACAGCGGTTAGGTTTATGAAGCAATTCTGGTTTGGAGGCTTTGGGAGTCGATAGATGGATTACACACAGGCTAAATGCTGATTTCAATTTGCAGTCCGACTTTTGGGACCCAGCTTACTAAGGTAGTTCCCAAAATAGCCCATAATCAGGACTAAACCCCAGCCTGGAATCGTAAACCCCAAACCCAAAACTCTAAACTCTAAGATCCTGGGTGTCTAGTGCCCCCCCTTTTGAGTTTGGCGCCCCCCCTTTGAGTTTAAGCCTTGGATTTTTGGGTTCTGGGTGAAGCTTTGGAATGGGGGAGGGGCATTGAAACCCCCGGGCGCCCAATGTTGATATGGGGGTTTCCCAAAATTAGGGGTACCTTTTTGGGGGTCCCTATAATAAGGACTATAATGTAATGGGGTTCATTTTGGGGTCCCCTATTTTGGGAAACTACCATATACCGGAGATATTATCGTGTACCACATTCGGAAGACGAGGAGGGGGTTACAAAACCAGGTACAAGTGCTAGGTGGGGGTGGTTGGGGGGATTGTGATAATATACTAACCTAGGTGTGGACGGTTCTTTGGCACTTTTGCTTGCCTTTAACTCTCAGAAGGATGACCAGGTAAAGAAGCAACTTGTGTCGGCCCCCAAGTCTGGGAGTAGGGTTTAGGGCTCAGGGCTTAGGGATTTAGGATTCAGGGTTGAGGGCTTATGGATTTAGGGTTTAGGGCTTAGGTGTAGTTGTGCCACGCTTTTTACTTGCCGCCAGGCATGACGGCACATTTGGGGATCTTCAGTGGTGCCAGATTTCCTTCATCCGCAGAAGCATACCTTCGAGCTGGAACCGGGGACCCTCAACCCTAGACCTTAAAACCTAAACAAGGAACAACCCTATGGAATTCAATCGTAAGCCTTGCGCACACGGTTGAATCCCTGAGAAGCTAGGGAGTTGCAAAGCCTATGTGGTAATTTCCCCAAATAGGGGGCACCTCAATTTAGACCCCCAAATACCATAATCCTTATTATGGGGACTCCCCAATAAGGTACCCCTAATTTTGGGAAACTTCCATGTATCCTCAGCTGCAACCTTGGACCCTACGATTTAGTGTTTAGGGTCCAAGAAGGCCTTAACCCTAGACTGAGCACTTAACTCTATACCCGCATATACCCTGAGCCCTACTTGAGTGGCATTGCTTTGAGAGGATACTACAGTCCACAATATAGGGTAAGACAATTTTCTTTGCTTCAACCACCCCGAAAAGATCGACACACATGCTGCGTGGGGAGCCGGGTAATGGGTTCTAGCGATCCGTTTGAAGGATTTTCCTGGGGTACTGTCTAGCGGTTTAGGATTGAAGGTTTGTAGGGTTTAGGGTTTGCGGTTTTGGGGTTTGAGGGTTTCGGGTTTCCAATCCCATCAAATTCCCGCCCCCTCTATACAGAAACCTTCAAGTTCCCTAAACCTTAGTAACAACCGATACACAGTAGGGTTAAATTCGCCATTAACCATGTAGGCCTGCTAAAGTAGGGTAGGAGGTTATGCATCGGGGAAGAGATGAAGCGTGAGTAGGAAAACTGGAAGGCATTTGCCTGCATAGTCCCTAGGCCTTAAATCCTAAAATTTCTCCATCCCTTAACCCTAAATCCCTAAACCCTAAATAAATCCCAAAACCTTGAACCCTAAAAGAATCCTTATCATTTCTGAGGGCTTCTCAAGAGTACCCTATTTTGAACCATGCCTTACTCGGGCTGAAGAATTCAACCATGACGCTGAAATCTATACGCCATATACCCAAAGCCCAAAACCTTAACCCCACCCTGAGCCTCTCCACACTGTTTTTACCCTGAAAGTTTAGGGTTTAGGGTGTGGGGGTTAGGGGCATTATTATCCTAACCCTCCAAAATCCTAAACCTCCGAAACCCTACAGCCACCGAATTTCTGGAAACCCATTTTGAGGCTGGAAAACATAACCATCCCGCTGAAGAAGAAACCGGGGAAAGGAGACGGAACCGGCTCGAAGAGTTGCTTGGGAGCAGTGTAAGGCTTTGAGGGCTAAGGGTTTGGGATGTTTAGGGGTGGCTTTAAGGTTTAAAGTAAGGTGTTCTGGGCGGTTCTTGATGGTTTATAGTGTTTATGAAGGGTTTCGGGGGTTTGGGGAGATTTCAGGATTCGAGTTTGCTAGCAATGGCTCTAGAGTTCGCAAAGCAGTGAGAGGTTTTCGCCAGGAAACAGGATTGTTTGGCAACACTATGACAGGAAATCGCCAAAGCCTCAGCTCAAAGGCTCACCCACGCGGTTTAGGATCCTAAGCCCTAAACCCTAAGTCCCCTTGAAGTAGATAGAATATGGCTTTGGGTATATTATAATAAGATCTACTTAATGGGGACTACAGGGCTTTAGTGGGAGTAGGCCCAGGGCCGATTATTGGGATTGTTATCAAGTTACACAGACTACTATAGAAACCCCTGCCCGTTCCCAACTCAGCATGAGTAAGAAACGCTAGTTTGAATTCAGGTAATTAGGTTGGACAATGCGCTGAAGCGCCTTAAATCCTAAACCGCAGCTATATTACATACTCACCCTAAGCCCCAAACCGCCACATCCCAAGTCACTCTACGTCTGAGAAGGCTTTTCGATCATGCGGATGATGCGCCCGCCTCGCACTTTGAAGACTGGTTCGGCTTCCTTGGAACCTCCAGAGCCTCAGGCCAGAAGGGGGCTGATAGAGATGCAAACCCTAAACCCGAAACTCTTCAAGAATCACCCTTGAAGAAATGGATGCGTTTTGGGAACCTGGGGAACCTCAGATTTCATGTGGTGTAGGAGTCTAGGCTGCAGGGCCTGGGGTGTTGGATACGTAAGTCATAGAAGGGCTGCTTCAAGCCAGAAGCCCTAAGCACTGCGGCGTCGACCTTCTTTGCAACCGGAGGTTTCCTTAAGCCAGGAAGTCGCAGAATGGATGCGTACATCACCCCCTCAACAAGGACTCCTGTAGCCCTAAATCTTCAGCAGTCTCATCAGCGCTGGATTTGGCATTTGCTACTTGCGGGGAGTGTGAATCCCCAAAGCCCGAAGCTGTCTGGTTTCTCGCAGCCTGGGGTCTCTCTCTCTCTCTCTCTCTCTCTATTGCTTACTGTTTAGGGTTTAGCAGATGGGGGTTGCTCTATGTACCATAGGAACTAGGAGGATCATGTTAGAAGGACTTGTTCTTGGATCTCTCTGGGGGGACCGATAGGCTAGTAGCAGACCGTAGTATACATTGCAGGCGTACCTTTTACTTCTTCCGCAAGAAGTCCCGACAGCTTCACCCCTTCACCTTAAACTCCCGATACAATTCTGGGTAGGCCCCTGGGATATTTAAAATTTTCCCTAATGGCTTTAATAAGGGACCCTATATGCTAATATTTTTCAAAGGGTTTTAGGGGCCAACCCAGAATTCAGCGGTCTCTTCAAGCATTGCTTCAGTTTTGCAACGACGTGTGCATTTTGGTATCTAGTAGAGATATTGAGATGTATCAGATTTAGCAATCAGACGAGCCCTTTCCTGTAAGACCGAAACTCCAAACCCTAAGCCCAACACCCCAAAATCCTAGGCCCCTAAGCCCTAAACCTCCAGCCCTTCGGCAAAAGACCTCTCAACCTCAAGCCGTAAATCCAGAACCCCAAGCCTTGAACCCCAAACGCACAGCCCTCAGCCCTAGACCCTGCAGGATCCACATCCAGACGCGTCCATCACAAGCCTCTTCCAGCGGACGGGCTCTTCTGCGGAGAGCGTTAATCCGGGCCTGGACAAGTACCTGGCAAGAATAAGCGTCACCAAATGGGGGTTTCCCAAAATTAGGTGTACCTTTTTGGGGATTCCCATAATAAGGACTATAGTATTTCAGGGTCTATATTGGGGTCCCCCTATTTTGGGAAACTACCAAATTTGTGTTGTAAATGGTTCAAGGTAGAACTCCTCGGGGTGCATTGCCGTAGCACCGCTGTAGCCACCTCCTGCAAATGAGTTTCCCATCTCCCTGGCAACAAATCCTTGCAGCATGTTGGGAGTGGGTATTGCCAGTGGTTGGGCAGACTTAGTCTTAGGGGGGTTCTGAAAGTGGGGAGGGCTCTGGCAACCCTAGCATTATACAGGGAATACAACGACACGATGCCTCTAGGAACGATTCTGTGATTCTGCCTAGGAAGTTGTGCCATCCTCATAGTTCTTGGGTCGTTTCTCTAGTTGGTGGCTTTTTTTCAGCATCAATTCAGAATCCCGACTCAGACAAACTCAAGCATGCCTGGATTGGAAAGAAGAAAGCCTGGAGGACATCTGTTTGCTAATAGATACAGATCTACACCCCGAGCCCTCAAATCCTGGACCCTTTTTCCATGGTCTCCTAAGAATACAGGAAAACATCCCTCTACTGAAACATTATGGGAGTTGATAAGAATATCTCTCATACGCACCCCAAACCACTGAAAGCCCCTCATACTCCCCATATACTCACTACCAGTATCCCACGGCATCCTTTTTTGTGAGAACCCCCGTCCCATACAGTACGCATATTAGACCAATCCCAGCGCATCCAAAACCTTCAGCGCTCACCAAACCTGCACACAACTGGGGTTCAAGGTGTAGGGTTTAGTGCCTAGCTGTCTCGGTGTGTGGTCTACAAGGGCTTAAGGGCTTAGGGGGCTTCATCCCCAAGGTACCTCAAAAACCTGGATGCAGCCAGCATTGAGACCTTCAAGTTGGTGGAAGATCTGCAGATCGTCATTCCTGAGTTGCATCCGGAGCACAGTCCCCATGTGGTCTTCTCCCCAGCACTTAGGGTCTAGGGTTAGGGTTTAGGGTTTAGGGTTTAGGGTTTAGGGCAGCAGATACGTTTCAAGCTGGTGTTTTGTTTTCGGGAACCTGAAAGCGCAAGCCCCAGGACCCCAAGCCCTAAGCCTTGATCCTAGAGCCTCAAAGCCCGGAACTCTTTAAAACCCAACCCAAAGAGTTTCCAATAGTGTAGTGCTCTCATATAATCACTTGGTAAGGGGCTTTGAAACATGCAAAAACAAATGTTGTTGGTAGCTATGTAGGCTTCCATGTTACTGTTCAGGTTTTTGAGCAGTCGGCAGAGCGGGAGAGGGCCGAGTCCTCATGCATCAGCATAGTGGCGCTCTTCAAGAATCGCTACGATATCTTCACCCACCCCCAGGCTTCCTGGAGCTCACTTCTTCCAGGATTTAAAGCTTCAGGGGTCCTGCTTTGGGGTTCGCCATGATAAGGAGTAGAGTATGTAGAGATCTATGTTGGGGCCCCCGTATTTATGCAAGTTACCATATTGCTCATAGGAGGGGTCGGAGTACGAAGGGAATGTTGTGACGACAAATCCCCTTCCCTCTAATGGTCAACCTTTCCGCGCCGCCGCTTGGAGTACATATTCCCCCCATTATTTGTACTATTGCGCAAAAATCCTTAAAAGGGGTTATATGGGGGATTGCATCGGGGAGTATTATAGGGGTTATTCAGGAGGATACTAGGAGTCTAAACTCTAGCTCATATGAAGCCGTTACATTCGGGTATTGTTCATCTGGTTGCTGTTAAGGACCTCAAAGTAAGTTACTGTGAGATGCGTATAAAGTGAACAATGGAGTCTTCTCATTACAGTAGCTTTAGTAGCTTTTTTTAAGGTCCTTAGCAGCAACCCAGTAATCATCCCAATCACCCCCTACACTTCATTTGATGTCGGGATTTTAATCATGAATTACCAATCATGGAGAATGAAATTCAAAACTCACGGAAAATGAAATGGAAACCCTAGGTCTTTTGGAAGGGATTATACAAGGGGTATGTAGGGTTTAGGAAGCAATTACCTAGGCTCTATAGTAGACTCGAAGACCCCCCCAACCTCAGACCGTCCTCCGGAGGTTCCTCATGCGAGGCTGGACGAAGGCCAGTGGTCTGAGATGCAAGGGCTGATGAGTTGGATCGATGCTTGGTGTCGGTTTACTTACTGGTTCTTAGTAGGGAAGAAGGGAATGCTATCCCTACAGAATTCTTTGATGACATATTCCCTTATTCCCTACTCCGCCCCAGTAAGCTTAATTTAGGGTTTGGGGGTTTCCGGACACTATCAGGGGCACTTGTACCTTCTGGGGAAATGCCAGCAGCTCTTCTGCCATGGTTGTTAGTAGGGAATGTAGGAAATGGATCCCTGTAGGAGCTCCTCAATAACCCCTAATGATAGTAGTTTCCATTTTCTTGTCCATTCCGCGATTCCCTGCCAGCCAACAACCATGAGGACCCAGATGTCGAACAGATGCAGGCTGTGTTGGTCGCGATCTCAGTTGTAGCCCGGAGATATCCACAACATGAGTAGATCGATGAAAAATAGCAGCCCTGCCCATGAAACTCATAATGACCAGAATCAAACATGGTCAGTCTGCTGTCGTTCATGGAAAATGGAACATAAAATGGAAACTACTTATTATATTCGGGTTATATGGGGGATAATGGAAAATAAAATGGAAACTACTATATGATATTCCCATCGCCTTATCCAATGCCTGGCAGGGACCCTCGTAATCCTGTGGAGTCCTCATTTTTCGTTTTGTCAGCAACCTGCTGCACCTCAAAAGCTATCCCCGATTCCTACCCTTTCTTGAGAAATTCCCCAAACTCTTAGCCTGATCCCTAGACCTTATACTGGAAACCCCAGACCTGAATCCCTACCCCTCTTAAGTAACCCCTAAACCCTAAACCCCGAACCCTAAACCCTAAACCTTAAACGTTAAACCCTAAACCCTAAACCCTAAACCCTAACTCAGGTGCTCTTAGCCATTCGCGCGCTCGGCAAGTCGAAAGCCGTCTTACAGCAAATGCCAGCCTATATGAGGTGGGGGTTTTCTCGGAAAAGGTTGGGTTTAGGGTTTAGGGTTGGGGGTTTTCTTGAAAAAGGTTCAGGGCCTTGACGGTGTACATGGAGTTTAGGATTTCTGCCGTTTAGGATTTAGGGTTTGTTAAGGGGCTTCAGGGACTGCAGGGATTGTCTCGGGGATTGCAGAGGGATTCTGGGAGCCCTAGTACTCGCAGGGCAAGGGGGACTTCGTAAGTATGCTTTTCACCCCTGCAAGCCAGATTATAACCCCAGTGATCCCGTTTATGTACCTACGCAGGTCCTCCTGACCCTAGACCCTACCCTAAACCCTAAACCCTAAACTCCTAAACCCCTAAACCCCTAAACTGGAGAAACCCCCAGGCGCCCGGAGAAGGCCGTGCTGCAGCTTGTGGGCAGTGGCCCGGCCGGAGTGACAGGGGATTCGGCGCTTCCCAGACCCCCAAAAGGATCTAAAAATTAGATCCCCTAGAACCATAGGGGGAATATATAAGGATTATATAGGGGTTAGAAAGGGTCTACATAGGGGATCTAATTTTTAGATCCTCCCAGGGGTCTGGGTTAGGATGAGGATTCAGGGCCTAGGCGTACGGCTTGGAATTATTGGGGTTAAGGACGTTTAGTTCAGGGCTTCAGTTCAGGCCTAGAACCTAGAATATAGAGTTTATGAAGTTTTGAGGCAGGGGGCCTACAAGGGATATTAGGGATTACACAAGGCAATATGCGGGCCCTTCTCAAGCAGCATCAAGGACTTTAAGTTTGTACGCTTTTGCCTTCAGGGTTTGCGCCCTGCATGTGGCGTCCCGAATATTCTAACCAAGACCATCTTTCAAGGCTGGCTAAGGGTTTTAGGGGTTAAGGAGTTTAGGGGTGTTAGGGTTTTAGGGGTTTAGGGGTTTAGGGTTTAGAGGGCCCAAACCCAAAGGAAACAAGCCCTCAGGCTACAAAGAAATGCTCCGTGATCGTATACATGTCTTGTTAAGAGGATGATGCTTATTGGCTTAGTCGAGATACCCTTCCAAAATCCTCGGGACTGGGGATGTAAGGATGATTCGGTGGTTAGGGGCATGCCTCCATAGAGAGAGAGAGAGAGAGAGATGAAACTGGCCTACAGCAATAAGAAAAAAATTGCAGATCTTGAGCGCCAACTTTCCCAAGTCCATGTGCAATATGTCCGCGTGTTCGCGACAGTCGTATGCAGATGCAGACATGCTCGGTTTTGAATGGCTGGACTCGCGCTACAAGCCCCCAACAAAAATGTATGGTGCAGTTTGCGCATGCGTTCTTCTTCTCCGTTTCTTTCCAGGGTTCATAATGCTGCAGCACTTCAAGGCGTGCGCTGATCTCACACCTAGAGAGGGGAAAGCCCAAATCATAACCAGGAAATCTCCTAAGTTGTCGTAGAATTGACATACAGCGCTAGTATTCCGTAATATATATATATACCTGGTCCCCACATAAGTGTCACTGTCACTTCCTTTGCTAGGGTTTCGTGTCTATGCTATAGGGACTGGGATCGTGATTTGGAGCCCTTACTGCGCGTGCAACATGTACTTCCGGAGGGGCTGCGCTGTTTCGGTGAGCAGAGAATTCCAGTTGATCCTCGGAACTAGGATCGTCGCATTTCGAAGAGGGATATCCTAGTCCACGGCATAGCGGAAGATTGTAATCTTTTTCCAGCTATAGATTCTATATGAGCTGTAGTCTAAACTCCTTAAAGGGGGTTATATAGGGAATATATATATATATATAAGGGACTATTGTAGGGGTTATTAAGGGGGATACTAGGAGTTTAGACGATGGCTCATATACTAAGGACTGTCCGTGGTAGAGTTTGATAAAAGAGAGACCAGAAGATCCTCTCAGGTGAACAAAACGTGGTGCCCTCTGTGAGGTGGCTAACAGAGGGTGGGGGGTCGTGGCCTCAGATCAGGTAATGTAGCAATTGGGTACTGCCTCCCCTCAGTAACAGTTGGATACTAATTATAGTATGGTTATAAATAGCCCTTAATAGGACCCCTAATATAGACTGGTACTGAATGGGGGCAGTACCCAATGTAGCAACCGAAGTAGTTATGAAATTATACGGCGCAGATTCTTTCAATAATCATGGCATAGGTGACCTCAGACAGACTTCAGCATGATATTCATACTTCTGGGCTTCTACAGTAGATCTCCAGGGGCTCCAGATCGGACAGACCCTCTAAGAACCTCTAAACACATCCTTTTCAGGGGGATCTCCTGGGAAAAATGGCAGCCCACGACTACCTTACTCTTTTTGAAGCGGCCTGAAATGAGATTGCTGTCCTTCGCAGCATTCAGAAGCATCATAGAACTTACACTCCCGGAAACCAGCATGGAACCTGAAAGGGATTCTTTGTCACTTCGGTGCTTCTTGCACCGACCCAGGTGGGGTTCCCTTACTGCTGGGAGAGGGTACATACACACTATGATAACCTTGAAGCCTGGCTTATAACCAATCTCATGCATTTACAGTATATGATACTGTACTGTGCCCAGCAACCCAATTACATCGTTTAGTCCCGTTGAATATGCGTTGCATAGGTTTCTTCACGAAGCCAATCTTTCTTACAGTAACTCGACCTTAGACTCTGTATAAACCCCACATGACCCTCTTATCGCCCTCTACATCCCTCAAGCCCTCAAATAACCCCTGTGTAATCCACATATACCCACTGTATACCCCCTGTATACCCCCTGTAAATGGAACCCGGCGTGGAAACTTGGTTTAAGATCCCTGTAGCATCTTCCGTCTAAGGCGCTTCCTGGAGAATGCGCTGGAAATTCACCAGCTCTTCAATCTCGCCCAAATGCTGCAAGGTGGGGGAACTGTAGGGATGTTCTGACAGTATTTATGATCTCCCAGTAGGGCGAACGGTTTAGGCTCATGATGTTTGCTGACTATAAGCCCCCAGAAAAACGGTTTGCGTAAGAAGTCCCCAAAAAGTATTTCACAAGATTCAAGAACATAGCAGGTGCTGAGTAGCGTCAGGGGGTTCGTATGTAGGACATAAGTGCGGTTACAAGTTCCCTAAATGTGGTTAGTCAGTCTGTCTTTAACCAGATTTAAGCATACTTACTAACTCCCCTGAGCCTCAAAGTGCTCAAAGAAGAGTATGGATTCGGGTTTAGGGCTATCCCAAGCAATATAGTAGTTTCCATGTCCTTTTCCATTCTTTTATTCCCTGTTAGGTAACAATCCGAAGCAATCCCTAAACCCAAAATCCTAAACCCGAAGCCCTAAACACATGAAATCCAAAGGTGAGAACCTTCCGGCAAATATAGCGCAACTGCGGAAGTGCATTGACGAGAAGAGCCTCAGTCTCAGTCACCGACTTCAGGAAGCTTACTGGTGTACAAGGGAGAATGGGGAAGTGGATCCTTATAATCATCCCCATAGAATCCCCAGAATCCCCATACATACCCCTATACTAGTCTCCATATTCACTTCCCCTTAAGTGCCTCAACCCTAAGCCCTAAACCCTAAACAGAAATTGAGTGGGACCTAGCAGGGAAGGCAATGCTCTTTCCAGGGTCTCAGTAGTCCTCATCCGTTGACTGGTTGCTTTGTATTGATTTGGTAGTTTCCCTAAACAAGGGGACCCCAATATAGACCTCAAACTACTATAGTCCTGAATATGGGGACCCCGGAAGGTACCCCTAATTTTGCAAAACCCTCATCTGGTGAAACTACAAGTTCACATGCACCTTGTGTGGCCTAGGTGAAGAGCAATTCCGCTTCTACATCCTTTTCTTGCTCGGCTTCATGAGCGGCATTGCTGCAGGAGCGGGCTCCCGGTTCATGCATTCTAAGATGCTCGATGGCAATCAGCCTCAAGCGCCTTGTGCTTAGTAGAGACTATAGGGTTTTTTGATGAGAGATGCTACAGGCATCAAAGGCCTGCATTCCTGACCGATCACCTCATAGTCTGTTTCTTACTGGCTGCTAGTATAGAATGATGCTTGTCGTAGCCAAGGGGCCACCATGTATGCTCCAATAATTAGGGTTTAGGGTTTCATTCCGTTGGTTCAGTCTACACAAACCTCCAGCAAGCTGAACTGAAAGACTGACCCTGAATGGTAGCTTCCATCCTATTTTCCATCATCCCAATATACTCCCCAATATAGCCCTAATATTACCTCAAAGTGCCTAAACCCTAAACCCTAAACCCTAAACCCTAAACCACGCACCAAAGGAATGCGGCTTCTGTCATCAGTGGCATTCGCTTGCTGAAAAGGCTCATGGAGTGCTCTCCAGTTGCCATCTACTGGGGCTACTTACAGGAAAGAGCCCATAAGCTGCAGCTTGGATCCCAATTGAAGCTTAGCTTTCTAGGATTTAGGATTTAGGGTTTTAAGGTTTAGGGTTTAGGATTTGGGGTTTGGGGCTTAGGGCTAAAGCTTATATAGGGGATGTTTTGGGGTCATATTGGGATAGTGGAAGATTGAATGGAAACTACTACTTAGGGGTTATGTAGGGGTTATATATCAAGAGCTTTGGTGAGCTTACTGGGGGTTAGTAGGGAATGAGGGGATACATTATATAGGGATGATACGGGGCGTATATTCCTTTATTCCCTACTAACCACCTGTAAGTTAGGGTGTCTTTCTCTGGCAAGGTTGAACGCATAACATGCTGAGAAAAGGAAATACTGAGTATTTTTATTGCTTCCTGATTTTGGGACGAAAAGGAAGACCAATCTCCCCTTAAGAACCCCCACAACCCTTAAGGACCCCCCATCCTTTGTTGGAGACTGTTCCCATCCTGGTACACGCAGGCACATGAGCTTTTGCTCCGTGGAGGAGCGGTCTTCGCATCCGGGGCTTGGGACGGTGCGTTTTAGGGTTTAGGGTTTAGGGTTGAGGTGTGTTTGAACTGGCCGGGAAAGCATGCTTAGAGTGTTGGGGGGCCTTTCTCCAAATCAACCTTCTTTGGGGGGGGGTGACAGGGTAGGAGTCTGATTGCTTGGGCACCTGCACCCTAAACCCTTAAACCTTTAAACCCTAAACCCCCAGGGCCTAATGCGAACCCTAAACCCTTAAACCTTTCAACCCTAAACCCCTAAGGCCTAATGCGAATCCTAAACCCTCCAGAGATGTGAAGACCTTGCAACTGCGGGATGATCACAGTAGGCATGGCTTGGGTACTGCCCCCACCCAGTAACAGTCTATGTTACGGGTCCTATTCAGGGCTATATATAACCCTATGATAATTATTATCCAACTGTTAGTGAGGGGGGGGCAGTACCCAAGGCGTCGCGGTTTTCCTGACTCTTACCATGAGGGAGGTTCCACATGTAAGGACCCTAGTAGGGGCCCCGTATGGTTTTGCAATCCCTATACATCCCTAACGTCCCTAAGAAACCCCATAACAGTTTACATCCATGCGTGTTGTCACCTGATAGTCAGGCGGATGAGTTTTGCCAAGTTATAGGGGCTATTGCAGGATGCGTGGGGTCCATATCTTCGGATATATAGCGGCACATAGGGTTTAGGTCTTGTTTTTTCACTGTAGGCTTGTAGTGGTTTTCGGAGCTACGGAGGACCTTGTGCTGGTTCGGCTATCATGCCTGGCACGAGTGCAGGATGAGAAAGACTCTGGCTCGCAGTTCAAGAGGTGTCCGTTAGGTGTGCTGCTGCAGCCCAGCGCGACATAAGCTGCATCCTTCGGCATACTCAAACCGACGAAGAACAAGCGTGATCTTGCACGTATGCCCCAACAACATGGCACCAGAGGCCACGAACTATCCTAAGCTTGTCAAGCCACAAGAACTTGCCTTTTCTAATCCCAAGACAAAGTGAGAATCATCACCATTGCCAAGGGGTCAAGCACAACACCCCACTTGGATGCCCAAAATAGGTGTCCCGTCAACCGTGTGCATGTGGATTTCCGTGCTGGTTTTGGGGAGGGAATCCCCTGCCCCCAGCCCAGGACTACTTGCAGCTTCGCGCGTCCTGGGATGCGCTGAAAGCCCGAGAACGGGCAGTCTTGACAGAGCACTTCCTAGCTGATGGTATTCAGGATGCCCCGCAGCAGCAGAGTTCAGAATTTGGGGTTATGGCATTCTGTTGCTTCGTAGTACGGTGATTGTTGCACTGTTGATTGCTGCTCTTTCTGGTTGGTTGCGATTACAACTGGGGGAGATGTTCATCACAGTCTGAATGCGTGTTGCGGTTCTCCAGTCACTGCTGACCAGAACGATGAGTTCATTGGGCCGGTTTCACACCAGTTGATAAGCTTCAAACAGGGTTGCCGAGCTTGCAGCTGCAATCTCGAAGAAACTCGGGTTGCAAGACGGGACGAAATTGCAACAAAGAAGCTCAATCTCGATTGGAGGCTGGGTTTGAGTTTGCAGGCTGTGCGTGAATCCGAAACAACCGAAATCCAATACGGCTCAAGTCCGTTTCCTAGTGGGGTTCCTCAACAGTATGGTGGGATTGCCCAGAAAGGGGTGGGGGGGGGAGGCAATGATTTCAAAACTTTGGCGTTGCGGTCTTGTCGAGCTTAGGGCTTAGTTTCACCTAAAGACGCGCCAGGAGCAGGCCTTCATGCTTGAGTTCCTACCCAATTGCGTTGCCAATGCCAAGGCCTTGCGCTGTGGGGTTTAGGATTTAGGGTTTAGGGTTTATGATTGAGGATGCTATACCTCGAATATACCTAGTTCGTAGGTAGTCACCATAGAATCCCCCAAAGGCTACATGGAGTCAATGGGTCCCTCCCAAAGCTCCTAGAGCTGTAGGGCTGTGCGGGTTCTATCGCAATGTTGTCTGTAACCTTCGGTGATGTTCTCTAGTGTGTTTTAGTCATTCTACGGGACATGCCATCGAGTCAGGCTTTGGCCAAATTGGGAGCATCTGGGGAGTTTGTGAGTCACAGCCATGGACATATGAAAGGCCTGCCAAAGGCTTTTATCCCAACCTTACTTGGAGGGTCCGGCGGACTGAGCAGTACGATACTGGGCTACAGGATAACCCCAGTTGACTTATTTACTAAGTCCCTTAATCCTCCAAGCATGATGGAGGAAATCTTGCGCCACCCCGGCACCCCAAACTGATGTACTTCCCAACTCAAGGGGGCGCAAGGTTGTCTTCAGGATTTAGGGTTTAGCACATGGGTGGTTGTCAAAATTATGGTCCCATTCTGGGTATCCTAAATATTAGGTATTATAATAGGGATCCAAAAAGGGAGCATAATTTTGACAACCACCCACATCTTTGCAAGGCCAACAGCACAGTTGGCTTTGCTGGTCTACTTGGCGTTTTGGTAGATTTGCTGAACAACCTGCGCCTGAGCGTGGATTCCATGCCAGATGCTGATGCTTTGCTGCAGTATGTAGGGCTGTTACCAATTATATAGGGAGATGAAGACAATAGAGAAGAACGTGGAACTTACTATGTAGGGGTTAGGGTTTATGAGTCTTACCCCAATTATGGAGAATCAACTGGGCATGAACATGGAAAATCAAATGCAAAATTGTGATTACAAAAGAAGGCTTTCCGTGCTGAAGTACTTGCAACTTGTGTAAGCATCTGGAAGGTTGTGGATAATGCTTCTGCGCAACCCATATGAGCCAGAGGCACATGATGCTGCTTACTTGAGGCATAGCTTAAGCCCACTCTGGTCAGAACATCGCAGGAAGCCACCAAGAATGATCGTAGCAGCGCGAAGCAATCTGAATATGGAACCTATAAAAACATGTCAAACTCCAATGCCCATATGTAGCTCTAAAGCCTAAACCCTAAACCCCAGAGCATGTCGGGCGGTCCTTGCTACAAGAATCCACGATGGTGCAAGTGCACACACAGGTGCTCCATATTCAGACATTGGAATTTGTCAGAGATGATCGCTGACTGTCTAATCTCATCCTTAAGAAGGGACTCCTATGAACGATCTTCTTATAATCTGCAAAAATCCCTATTTTCCATAAGCGTCACCTTGTTTTTTGCCCTAAGCCCTCTGCTCCCCAAGCAAGTGCTCCTGCGATGAATAGTTATTGTAAAACTCTTGCATGACCCTCAGTACGCCTAAGCCCAGGGAGTTTCGCGAAATCTGTATCATGAGGTTACGCAGAAATAATGGCCAGTAATCCCCCCCTATGATCCTTGTAAACTGAAGCCGGACTTGGGGTAGCAATGTGGAAGCTGAAAAGGCACATGAGAGGAAGACTACAGGTAAACAGAAACATATGGGGTTTCAAGGGATTAGTGGAGAATCAACTGGAAAAGCACATGAAAACCCTAAACCCTTCACCCTAAACCCTACATTCTAAACCCGATCCATACTCTAAATCCTAAGGGGGTCCAGCCCTGCGACCCAGGATCAGGTCATTCCGGTTGACCTCTCCGAAATGGCAGATTTCATCGCAGTCGTTCAGAACAGGTTTGGAGTAATGCAGAAGCCTCCTGAGTAGTGAGTAAGGGATTAGGGATTATGGGTTTAGGGGTTGGGGGCTTTGGATGTACAATTTCCAGGAGCGAATAATTTATAATAGTACCCGCTGTAGCTCCTATCGTATTGTAACAGGTGTATATATATATATATGTATATATGCATATATATATATATCTCTCTCTCTCTCTCTCTCTCCTGCAGACCTGTTTTGATGAAATCGCCTCCTGCACGAGAGTTTGAGAGGATAGTGGCACTACCACTTTCCTCACGAAGCTTATGAAAATTGATCAGTTCTGCTTACCCCCTTGCAGGTTCGTTTTCTTGACTTGCATCTCCAGATGTCGGCTACAGTTCGTTGGCCAGATGCTCTCTTGCAATACCCTAAGGGTCCAAGTACCAAATAATCATATACTTCCCCAAAACCTGTACTATAATTATTATTACCCAAACCCCAAGTACCTAAATGTTGGGTACTTGGACCCTTAGGGATAGTGACTGAGTCGTGGAAAGCCAAGTGTCACAGTGGTACTACCTCCGCTAGAACAGACACGAGCTGATGTCCCATATATGAGCCATTATCTAAACTCCTTAAAGGGGGTTATATAGGGGATTATGTAGGGGACTACTACAGGGGTTATTAAGGGAGATACTAGGAGTTTAGACTATAGCTCATATATGGTTCGTTAGGACTTCTGTAGGTCTTGTTTAGAGGTGGGGGGTTTCAAGGGCGGTAGTAACCATAGATGGGAAGCCTTTTGAATAAGGAGCCTGCTGGCGTTTTCCATAAACTCGGGCCCGCGTTAGATACCCTAAAGTTATCATTCCAACGAAAGCCCTCGTTTGGGGTGTGGTTGAGACAAGCCAACTGCTTTCAAGCTGGTTTCGGTAAATGCGCGTTTTGAAAGAGCTCCGAGACAGAGAAAAAATTATGTAGACCCTATATAATCCCTGTAGTCCGTATGTATAGTTTCCATTTTATTTTCCATTAACCCAACATAACCCCAATATAAGCCCTAATATATACCCAGTACTTCCCCAAAGCACAAGCGAACGAGAAAATCAGAATCAGGAAGGTTGACGCATAACAATATAACCCCAGTGGTACCCCAAGATAACCCCAATGTTACCCCAACATACCCCAATATAACCCCAATATTACCCCAATATACCCAATATAACCCTAATATATTACAGTAGCTTCCATTTTCTGTTCCGTTATACAAATATTGAGGCGAGTCGTGCACGAAAGTTACGAGGCTTTTGGCTGATGGTCTTCCCGCACAACTCATGGCTACCATAGTCTATCTAGTTTTTGTGCGTAGGCTCAACGAAAGATATTCCGAATGCAAAATTCAAACCCGAGGGTTTGGGACGCAATCGTGGCCAGTTGTGTGCAATGTTTAGGCAGCACATGCTTTTCTTGTTTTCAAAACCCTGCATGATGTTTGCATGTTAGAACGTTCTTAGGTGCTAGTGGCTATCACTAGTATCATCCATCAGCCCTGTGTTGAGCGCAGTTGTCGGTTACAAGCCAGTAAACGCAAAATTGCACAATGATTATGCAAACTGCTGCTACCGTTGGTGCTTCTCCTACGTACCACTACCACCGGCACCACCCAGCCCCACCCGCTACCACCGGACGCCACCGCCACCATTGCAAAAGCTGCTACAACACAAACACCCCCACTCCTCTGCTGATCAGTTCTACCAGGACGACCACTACTGGTGGCAACTACACTTGGTAGTTCATCATCATATCCGTCTATCATTATAACTCTTTTTCCTTGCAAGGGACCCCATCGCCCCTATATTATCCCTATGTTCTTTGGGGTACCTAAGGGCCTCAATATTTTGAGAAACTCCCGACTGCTCCTGTTTTCATGAGTGCCAAGGAGAGTTTTCCTGAAGATGACCGGAGGCCACCGGAGTTGAGCTGCTTGAAGGGTGCCAGAATTTCTTTCCCTACAATTTTATAGGGATAATGGAGAAGAAAATGGAAACTACTATTTAGTAAATTGGGGTTTTATTGGGGTAATATTAGCTTTTTAAGAAGGGTGCCAGAATTTCTTTCCTTTGGGCTGGGTACCCAAGAATATCCCAATAATGGAGAATCAAATGGAAAAGAACATGGAAAATGAAATGGAAACTGGCATTATATAGGGGGTTATTTGAGTAGCCCTCCAATTTTTTAAGAATACCATGGGGGCCACAAGGAATCTTCCGCTTTTTTCTCTTAGGGGAAGGGTGTGTTTGATCTTGGACAAAGCATTCAGGATGGAACGGGAAGGGCTCACAGCTCTTGCTTGGCATTTGTGTGCACTTTCTTACAGCAGCGATTATGTACCCTGTTTTTGCCTAACAGAACTGTCCAAGAGGCTTTACAAACCTAAACCGTTCGGAAGTGATTGCAAACAGCCAGGTATTACCATTACTATGATTATCATTGCTATACCTGTTATTGTGATTATTTTTATTACTATTACCAACAGTACTTCCATGACCACTACTATCACTAGTACTAGTACTACTACTATTACTGTTACTTTCCCTCTTACTAGTAGTATTACTCTTATTCCTATTATTGCTGGTAATATGACGATGACCATTACTATTGCTAGTATTATTGTTGCTGTTTGCACTCTTACTCTCACAAGTCCTATTCAAGTATTATTACTATTGCGATATTGTTACTCTTACTATTCGTACAACTACGGTTACGTCAAGAGACATTTTCTGTAATCTGGAAGGCCCAGTTGTTAACCTCCTTTTCAATGCTTTTATGAGGAAAGATGTCTGTAAAGGCTTTGATGATTGTATATGGGTTCCTTAGGATTCTTACTGGATGTATATGTTCGGTGTCCACTTGGGGAGATCAGAATCCTTATAGGCATCACCAGGCATAGTCTGAGGGTGCCTATGGAGCCTACCCACTGCTTCTGTCATGCTGGCGTAATGTGCTTTTTTGAGATAAGTCAAATTCCCCACTCGTTGGAGGTTCATGAGTAGATTTTGCATGGGAGTTTGGAAACCCTAAACCCCAAACCCTAAAACCTAAACGAATCCTATAGTTTAGGAGGACCCCCCACCCTGTAATATCGGTATAGTAGGAATATAAGAGGACCCTAATATAATCCTTATTATCCATAATAGTCACTATTACTAGGTGGGGGTCCACCTAACCTATAGTCATAGTTATTGTCAATTGTGTTTAGAAAATGAATTTTGACTTTCTGGTGCTGATTGGGGAGTGGGGGAGTGGATTCCTACGTAATCCGCACATATACAGCTCTACTAGTACCGTAGAGGCCTAAATGATTACTAACTAGGGTTCTATATTCATTGTATAGCTAGTTATAGTATAGGATACTTGAAACAAACCTCAACATGATATTGGTAATTATCTAGGCCTCTGTAGTACCTACGTTCGCTTCCAATCCCTTGGCAAGCATTGGTTGGTAAATCCTAGACCTAACCCCTACGCCATCAACCCTGAACCCTCAACTTCAAAACAGCAGATCTCCCTAAACCAAAATGCTGACCCTAGATCCTCTACAACTTATCAACCCTCAAGTCGAGAAACGTACACTCAACCCTGATTTCTAGACCAGTCAGTGATCGTCCTACAAATTGCTGTTCTGCATGCAGGTAACTGGGGCCGAACCGCTGATGCGGACTCGGACATGACCAGCCTTGCCTACACTTTGCAGGACACGTTTCACCGTTTCGGGGTATGGGGCTTCGGGATTCCGGTAGCGGGTTCCTGTTTGGGTGTTGGTTGTTCAATGTACATTTTGAGCATGACCGGAATATGCAATATGCGATAGGATGCAGATCTCTCTTTCGTAGTTTGTTTTGCCGATGTGGACAACACTGACCTCACGCATGAAAGCTAGCTGCGTCCATCCTAGCGGGGAAGCCCTTCAACTTCGAAATCTTTGGGGAGTAACATTTTCGTAGGGTATGGGGAAAGTGGGATTTTAATGTACTTTGCTAAGACAAGCAGGCTGCGATCCTGGTGCTAATTGTGTCAACAAGGTTCTCATTCCCTGCCAACTCTACATCTGAAGTGCAGCGCTGCTTCTCCCAGCTTCTGCCCTGCAATCCTGAAAGCTGAACACGCTCAGGATTCTATAGTTGGAGTGTGCTACACTTCCGAAGGACGTCAAACTTGGATTCTTTAGGAGAATAATATCTTCCAATAAGTATTCCTATTCTGAATACGGCCTTTACATGGATATGCTCCAAAAATCGGATCCCCGCTTTACAAGGCCTAATTGTAGAGACCCTGCAGAGAAGGACGACGACCAAAAAACCCAAACCAAACCCTAAACCGGCGACTATTGTGGGTTCATTCAGGAAGCTAACCGCGAAGCCTTCAATCCCAAACCCCACATCCTCAATACATGTTCTTTGGGGTCCCCATTGGAGGGAACCCTCAAAAACTTCCATTTTGTCCATTATCTCTCTATAACCCCTGTATAACCCCCTATGAATCCCTTTCAGGGTACCCTTAATTTTGGGAAGCACCCCGAGTCCCCAACAGGACATTCTGCACAAGCAGGAACTCCTCGAGGCATGATGGAGCTTCTCATCAAGGTAGCCCCTACAAACCTTCTATGTGGGCCACAGTCTAAACTCCTTAAAGGAAGTTATATAGGGTATATATAGGGGACTACTATAGGAAGTATTAAGGGGGATACTAGGAGTTTAGACTATAGCTCATGTGGGTGGTTGTCAGAATTATGATCCCTTTTTGGGTACCCTAAAAATTCGGTGCCGCATTATAATAGGGATCCAAGAAGGGATCATACTTTCTACAACCACCCATGTACGGATCATTTTGAGAAACTCCCATTTCTCTCCCACAATTTCCTCAGCAACTTCAAATGACTTCGCCCGACCTGGCGAGGAATGGTGGTTTATGTACCAAGATCCAGAGCTTCAAGCTTGAAATAGGAGCCCAAAAGGTATTGCCAGACAAGGGGGTCTTTATTGTACCCGACAAGGGGGCCCTACTTTTGGGTAACTCCAACAAGTATATGTCTAGTTCATTCAGTACCCCTAAACCCTAAACCCTAAACCCTGAACCCTAAACCCTAAACCCTATTAGGGTTTGAGGTTGTCATTAGTATGCCACCTCTGACTTCCTCCTCCCTTCCTAAATCTAAACTCTGAACCTGGGGAGGCATATATCATGAAGCTCGGTCGCAGCTTGCAATTTAGGGGCAAGTGCCTGGCTTCTTCTTCCGCAGGGGTGCATCATACTTCATCCTGAGGATCTCTGCAATAAGGTTGTAGTTACGAAAGCTTCCTCAAGCTTT